CAGAATCAGGTCCTAGATTTGCTATATACTGTACACAGCTCTGTATTTCTTCTTCTGCATCTAAATGACAATGCCTTTTGAGTCAGTGGTTTTTATTAGTAAAGTATCGGTTATCTATGCAATTATATTTGTCACATATCCCGGATAACATGTATTGATGTCTTTCCATTCGTGACTTAACCAGGGGCAGATGACCGTTTTGCGGGGCCCCGGGCAGCATAATTCCGCAGGGACCCCCTTTGCCATGGCGCATGCACAGTGACGCCATGCGCATGCGCAGCGGTGCCACGGCGCATGCGCAGGGCTTTCTGAAGCGCGGGGCCCGGGGAGGCCGCTCCGTTCACCCTGCCCTATATCCGCCCCTGGACTTAACAATTGCTCTTGATTTCATGCAGAAAACTCCTCAGTGGTATCTAGATGCCTCACTATCACTGAAATCAGTGACGCAGACAAGACGAGCAGGGCTTTAAACTAGGTTCTAGAGCAGATGACCAAAGTCCACAGGTAAAGTGAAAAATGTGACGAAGGGTCAGAAACTAGAGGGAGATGATCTGTAATAGCAGAGATAAAGGAGAAACAAGGCAGAACTCGGGGGGGGGGAGAGGGGGATCAACCCAATACTTTAGTGGTCTGTATACCAGAGGTGGGCAAATTTCAGCCCGTGAGCCAGATCCAGTCTCCAGAGTTAGCCCATGGCAGGCCCCCACCTCCATGTTTATCTGTACCTCCAAAGGTATCGGAGAATCGCAGCTCTCATTGTCCACGGGTCGCCATTTGCAGCCAATCTAAGCAGTGGGAAGTGGTGTCCTGGTCCGCAACACTTTCTGCCACTTGCATTGTCCACGAATGGTGATACACAGCCACCCAGAGTGGCAATCCTCCAAGACCTATTGAGACATAGGTAAACATGGCGGTGGCAGCCCACCAGGGTCTAACTTTGCAAGCTTCTGTTTTTATATTGCCCAACCCTGCTGTATACAAATGAAAGAAGTATGGGGAATAAGTAGGAAAAACTTGAAATGTTAGTAAATAAACACAACTATGATATTGTTGGTATCAGAGACTTGGTGGCATAATACACATGATTGGGATATTGGTTTAGAAGGGTACAGCTTGCTCAGGAATGATAGGAAGGGAAAAAGTGAGGTGTTGTTTTATATATTTAAAAAATATCTATTCTTGGACTGAGGTTGAGATGGACATAGGAGACAGACTTGTTGAGAATCTCTGGGTAAGGTTAAAAGGGGAGAAAACAAGAGTGATGTCAAGGTAGGGGGTCTATTACAGATCACCTAGACAGTAATAAGAGGTGGATCAGACTTTTTTAAGCAACTAACAAATCATCCAAAGCACGGGACTTGGTGATGGGGGACTTCGACTATCCATATATCTGCTGGAAAAATAAGACAGCAGGGCACAGATTATTCAACAAGTTCTTGGAATGCACTGGAGACTTTTTTTTTTTTTGTCTTGTTTTTCAAAAGGTGGAGAAAGCTATTAGAAGAGAAGCTGTTCTAGATTAAAGGTTTGGAAAACATGACCTGTGAGGGAAGACTAAAATAATTGGATTTATTTAGTTTGGAAAAGAGAAGAATGAGAGGGAAACATGATAACAGCTTTCAAGTAAGCAAAAGAGTGTTACAAGGAGAAGGGAGAAAAATTATTCTCCTTAATGTCTGATGATAGGACAAAAAACAATGTCAGGGTAGTTAAGCACTGGAATAAATTACCTAGTGAGGCTATGGAATCTCCATCATTGGAGATATTTAAGAGCAGGTTAGATAAACAGCTATCAGGGATGATCTAGATGGGTCTTGGTTCTGCCGGGAGTACAGACTTGATGACCTTTCCAGGTCCCTTCCAGATCTAGTATTCTATGATTCTATGAGTCGAGTAATATTTTTTTACTGGACCATTATCTGAGGGGGAAGAGACACACTTTCAGGGTTAGCTTATTCTTTAGGATAAGATTTTAAAAAACTTGTATATTCCACCACCAGAAGTTGGTCTAATGAAATATATTATCTGACCCACCTAGTAGCTCACATCCTGGGCCAACATACCTACAACATTAAAAGCAAGGGGCGTTAGGTATCTAAATATATTTGAGAGTCTGGGTCACAATACTAGAGTGATGGGCAAACAGATTAGAGAGTTTCTGCTAAAAAGCCTATTACTTGTTATGATACTGTATATTTTATGGACATATTATTTTGACTCTGAATCTGAATAACTTGAATATGCTGTACGTAAACAAGGCAAGGCAAGTAACCTGTCATTCACGAGCTTTTGATCCCCTGAAAGTGTAAACTGTATCTGTGTGCATATATTTTTCTTGTATGTGACATTAGAAATAGGAAGTCGGAACCTGCTTATCAGTCTAGATCTTCTGGTGAAAACCATTATTGATACAAAACCTTTTACCTGGAATAAGGGCTACAATGACAAATTATTATTTTTAACAATTTCTCTTAGGCTGCGTCTGGACTGGCATGATTTTGCGGAAATACTTTTAACGGAAAAGTTTTTCCGTTAAAAGTATTTCCACAAAAGAGCATCTAGATTGGCATGGACGCTTTTGCGCAAAAAGTGCTTTTGTGCAAAAGCATCCATGACCAGTATAGACGCGCTTTTGTGCAAGAAAGCTCCAATGGCCATTTTAGCCATCGGGCTTTCTTGCGCAAAAAATTAAGGTGCCTATCTACACTGGCCCTCTTACGCAAGTATTCTTGCACAAGTATTCTTGCGGGAGCGTCAAAGTATTTGTGCAAGAAGCACTGAATTCTTACATTAGAATGTCAGTGCTCTTGTGCAAATTAAAGCGGCCAGTGTAGACAGCTGGCAAGTTTTTGCACAAAAGCAACTGCTTTTGTGCAAAATCTTGCCAGTCTAGACACACCCTTAGGCTGCGTCTAGACAGGCATGATTTTCCGGAATGCTTTTAACGGAAAAGTTTTCTGTTAAAAGCATTTTTGGAACAGAGTGTCTAGATTGGCACGGACGCTTTTCCGCAAAAGCACTTTTTGTGAAAAAGCATCCGTGCCAATCTATATGCGCTTTTCCGCAAAAAAAGCCCCGATCGCCATTTTCGCGATCTGGGCTTTTTTGCAGAAAACAAATCTGAGCTGTCTACACTGGCCCTTTTGCTCAAAAGCTTTGCGCAAAAGGGACTGTTGCCTGAATGGGAGCAGAATAATATTTCCCCAAGAAGCACTGATTTCTTACAGTAGGAAGTCAGTGCTTTTGCGGAAATTCAAGCGGCCAGTGTAGACAGCTGGCAAATTTTTCCGGAAAAGCAGCTGATTTTCCGGAAAAACTGACCAGTCTAGACATAGCCTTGGGCTACGTCTAGATTGCATCCTCTTTTTGTAAATGGGATGCAAATTAGACGTATCGCAATTGCTAATGAAGCGGGGATTTAAATCTCCCCCGCTTCATTAGCATAAAAATGGCTGTCGATTTTTTTCGGCTAGGAGCTTTGCCGAAAAAAAGCGCCAGTCTAGACTTGTATCTTTTGGAAAATAAAGCCTTTTCCGAAAGATCCTTTATCCCTCTTAAAATAAGGGTTAAGGGATCTTTCGGAAAAGGCTTTATTTTCAGAAAGATCCACGTCTAGACTGGTGCTTTTTTCCGGCAAAGCTCCGTGCCGAAAAAAAGCGGCAGCCAGTTTTATGCTAATGAAGTGGGGGAGATTTAAATCCCCGCTTCATTAGCAATTGCGATACGTCTAATTTGCATCCCTTTTACAAAAAAGGGATGCAATCTAGACGTAGCCCTGTAGTGTAGACATTGCCGTTATATGTGACGATTCCCACTGAAGTGAATAGGAGCTGTGTATTGGCATATTTTATTTTGTCTTAGTAAATTTGATCTATCTGTCATCACTTGCAACCACTTAAATCCTACTTTTTATACTTAATAAAATAACTCTTGTTTATTATCAAATCCAGTTTAAATAATTGTTACCTGGGGGGAGATGAATATCTGTGCCTATCTCTCCTTCATTGATAAAGAGAACATACTCTATGAGTTTTCTCTGTGTAAAACTTTTTACAGAGTAAGCTAGAATCCTTCCAGGGAAGGCTGTGCTCCTGGGTGATGTCAAATGTCTGTAACTGAGTCCTCCTAGAAGTGAGCTTTTAGCAGTGTCTTTGTTACTCTGCTGGGGGGCTGTTACCCCCAAATCTGTTCCTTTGCTGTGGCAGGACAGAGCAGAGCTTCTGGCCCAGCAGGACAGGGTGCTGGAGTGCCCCCATAGGGTAGGTAGATGGGTTTAATGGTATGATCAGCACATTGAGATGGGTGACAGTCTCAAGAGGATATCTGTGATCCAACCCATCACACTTGTTTTACAGGGAAAACTGGTAGAATACTAGAGAGGAAAACAGTGAGATGGCAATCCAAGGATAAACTGAGGCAAGGGATGAGCCTTGAACCAGATCTGCCTGTGTTTCAACAGTGGGAAAAATAATACTGACAGATTGTGATAATGGAAGTGACTGTATTTCATGATTCTTGAGTGAGCATAATTTCTCAATGTTACATTAACACAGTTCTCTGTGACATACTACTTCACATGCACAGCATGAAAATCTCATTTCCTCAACTGACTATTGTTTGTGCTCAGAGAAACTGCAGGTGCCTGAATTATTCGTGTGAACTGCATTTTTATAGTGGTTTAACTCAAAGAACGCTAGCATTTAGGAGGGACAGAGGGAGGGAGGTTCACATGCGTATGTGGAGTTTTTTCATATTCAACTAACTATCCGAGGAGGGAGGTTCACATGCATATGTGGAGTTTTTTCATATTCAACTAACTATCCGATACCCGAGCGCCTCTAGGCCCCTCCTTTTAAAGGCACAGGCTGAACACCACTTCCAGCAGCCATCTGTTCGTCAACGCGCTCTACTTCCTGGGGCAACTCTTTAGCTCCGCCCCCAGGCTAAGAAACCAATCAAAAGCTGAAGCTCTGGTGACGTATATCACTCCCGAATACATCTCCCCCTCCTCGCGCTTCCCTTTAAGACATGTCACTTTCCCTTTCGTTCCGCCTGATACAAAGTAGCGGGGGGCGGAACGTTGGGCACAGCTGGGGGAGCAGCGAGTGGCGCCCGCGGGCGGCGGTCCCGGCAGCCTGGCTGAGCTCTGAGCCGCCTGCCCCGGGCTGGGCCATGGAGGCCGAGCAGCAGCCCGACAGCCTGGAGGGCTGGGTGGCTATCCGGGAGAACGCGTTCGCCGAGCCCGAGCCCCACAAGCTGCGCTTCCTTGTGGGCTGGAACGAGATCGAGAGCAAGTTCGCCGTGACCTGCCGAGGCGGCCGGCCCGGCAGCCGGAGGAGATGGCGAAGAGACGCAGCAGCAGAGCTGGGCTGGCCTGTTCTCGGCGCAGGCCCTGCTGGGCGTACACCGGCAGCTGGCGGCGCTGAGCGAGCGGCTGGAGCCCTGCTTCCCCCAGCTGCCCCCCGTGCTGCCCGGCCAGAGCAGCGGCAGCCTGTGGGCGCTTCTCTTCCCCAGCGGGCCGGTGCTGGAGGAGGCCGAGCTGGAGGCCCTGTGTCGCGGGCTGGAGCGCTACCTGGGCTGGGCGCTGGAGCTGTGCGGCCGCAGGGTGGTGCTGGACTCGCTCTTCGCCCAGGACCAGCAGCAGGAGGCCGAGTACTTCGAGAACCTGCACGAGTTCCGCAGGAAGGCCCTGAAGGGGCAGCTGGTGGGGTCAAAAGAGGCCCTGCGGAGGGTACGGGCTCCTGGGCTGGGTGTTTGGGGATGGAACCTGTGGGCACAGGCATCCTGAGGGGCTGGCCCTGAGGATCCCTGTGCAGGTGCCCAAGCTAGTGGGGGGATGTGCTCTATGCTGTTGACAAGCTGTGTGGCACGGTACATGCTCTGGGGGCACTTCGTGCCAGGTGCCCCTCCCAGCTCTGAAGGTGACAGCATAACCTGGCATGAGAAGCCTGAACACGTGGGCAAACCAGAGTCTCCATCATGGAATGGCCCTGGGGCTAGAGAGAATGGGTCTGCACCATGTGGTGGCTTTGGTAGGGTTGGTACAAGTCACTCTTGTTTGGATTTCAAGCTAAAATTGACCATTAGCCAAAATTGCCACTTTGCTTGGTGTGGACTGAGGAACGTGAAATACGATGGCTTTTGTAAGGTCACCATCTGAACCCAGGAAATAGCCATGCAGTGTTCCCTGTAAACTGAGCGCTTGGGTGGCCGCTCAAGAGAGATTAAAAGGTGACCCAACTGATTAACAGAGCACCCATAGCCACCTACAGCCAGTAGCATGTTTCTACTGCTGGCACACATCTGCAGGGGCCTGAGTGCACATAACATTTGTGCTGCACATGGATGGAAAAAACTAAAGGGAATATTGGAGCCATGTGCCCTGAAAGAGATTGCTTTTGAACATTTTACCCATCTCCAGACCAGTATCCTAATGCACTACAGTGCTTTGAGCTTTTACAGGTCTAATTCTTTTTTCATAGCACTCTCCAGCCCCAAAGTGCTTTTACAAGTTAATATAAAACCTATGCAGAGGGGCTACTTACTCCTCATTTCACTGGCGACTAAGCTTCCTCCATGAGACAAGGATCAGGACTGCTGCTGGTGGAATCTTTAGGGCTCCTACTAGAAAGTTATATGCCCCACTGAAGGGGATTTGTGTGTTTCTGATTAGTTAGCGTGACTGACACTGAAAGCACCACACTGTCCCCAGTTCTTCTTGAACTGCCTCATTTGGACCCCAACCCTTCAAACTTGTACATAGCACTACAATAGATTTACATTATCGATCCAACCACCCTCTCTTGAAGATGCTAGTTCCCTAGTTTGAGCTTAGTTATCAAATATATTCGCTGTTTTAGTAGATCTTCAAATTATGGTGACTTCCTCATTAATCAGTAATGCACCCTCTTCCAGCCCATCATCTAGTCTGATGCTAGAATGCCATTTTAGAGTGTGAGCAAATATAAGGATACGACATTGTGGAATACTGGACTAGTATGAAGCTTTGTGTTTACATGAATAAACACGTATATAGCCAAAAATAGCTGAGACACCAATATCTGAGTTTATATCAGTCATTCCAAAGGCTACGTCTATAAGGCTATGGAATGAAAATGAGTTGCAGGTGCCCTATAAAAAGTAGTGTGCAAGATACTCAAGGCATTATTTTTCAAATAAACCTCAACTAAGAAAATCCACCTGTGTACCCATAGACTGTACAATATGTTCCAAAAATAAGAGCACAAAATAATGTTGCAAACTAATCAGCCCATAATCTTAAAACTACCTTCTCGCTAAAAAGTCTGGGAGCACCTAATTTATGTAGAATACCAACTGGTACATGCTACTGATGTTAGCCTGTAGTCATTTACACGATTAACTGATAAATCTGGGCTCATCGGTTAATCCTAACGACTACACACATCCCCTTGCTGTGTCTGTGTCAGAGGCACCAAGGGTGGGAGCTGGTGCCAGCTCCCACGGAGCCGCTTCCCCCCCTTTGCTGCCTCCTACAGAGGCAGCAGCACGGGGAGGGGATGTGAGATGGGAGTGGGTGCTTGAGGGTGGAGCAAGCCAGCTATCAAGTTGGCTCCCTGCACTGCTGCCTCTGGATCAGAGGTGGCAGGCGGGAGCTGGGTCTTGCGGGAGCTGGCTTAAAGCCAACTCCCCATGAATACCAGCTCCTGCCTGTCCCCCTTCGTGTAAACATGTAACCATTGAAAAATTCAGCAGTTACAATATTTACAAAAATCAGTGTTTGCTAACATCCCTAGTACTTGCATACAGCTTAAAATTTCAGTTTTTACTGAAGCGATCCTATGCCTGTGCCAAATACCTTGTTATGGATGCCTAAGGGTAGGTCTACACAGCATGCTTATTTTGAAAAACTATTTTGGAATTTTTTCTCCAAAATAGCTATTCTGAAATGGGCGTTATTCCTAGTGGAATGAGGTTTACAGATTTTGGAATAAGCTGTCCGTTATTTCAGAATTATTTTGAAATAACAGAATTGCTGTGTAGATGCTCGCATTGTTATTTTGAAATAACAGCCATTTTTTCCAAAATAACCGTGCTGTGTAGATGCACACTGAGCATGAGCTTTTGGCTTAGTAGGTGTATAAATTAATTGTGATACAAGCTCTTACTTCCTGTGTGCATAAATACACTTTCTGAAAAACTGCCAATTTTCATTCGTGAACAGATAAAAAAATAATCTACTTCAAGGCAATATGATTGAAAGTCTGTTCATTATTATGTTAGGGGCATCTCTCTATTTTCAGCAGTGTTAAGAAATCACTTTAAAAATAGTTCCTAGTAACATAAGACCGACCATACTGGGTCAGACCAAAGGTCCATCCAGCTCAGTATCCTGTCAGCCGACAATGGTCAATGCCAGATGCCCCAGAGGGAGTGAACACAATGGCTGCATCTAGACTGGCAAGTTTTTCCGCAAAAGCAGCTGCTTTTGTGGAAAAACTTGCCAGCTGTCTACACTGGGCGCTTGAATTTCCGCGAGAACACTGACGATCTCATGTAAGATTGTCAGTGTTCTTGCAGAAATGCTATGCTGCTCCCGTTTGGGCAAAAGCCCTCTTGCGCAAATGCTTTTGCGCAAGAGGGCCAGTGTAGACAACACAGTATTGTTTTGCGCAAAAAAGCCCCGATGGCGAAAATGGCAATCAGGGCTTTCTTGTGCAAAACCGCGTCTATATTGGCACGGACGCTTTTCCACAAAAGCATGTTTTGTGGAAAAGCGTCCGTGCCAATATAGACGCGGTTTTGCACAAGAAAGCCCTGATTGCCATTTTCGCCATCGGGGCTTTTTTGCGCAAAACAATACTGTGTTGTCTACACTGGCCCTCTTGCGCAAAAGCATTTGCGCAAGAGGGCTTTTGCCCAAACGGGAGCAGCATAGCATTTCTGCAAGAACACTGACAATCTTACATGAGATCGTCAGTGTTCTCGCGGAAATTCAAGCGCCCAGTGTAGACAGCTGGCAAGTTTTTCCACAAAAGCAGCTGCTTTTGTGCATGAAAAAAAACTTTCTTTTGTTTGGCCGCTTGATTTTGCCCAAAAGCACTGACGTTCTACTGTCTGAAATCAGTGCTTCTTGAGAAAATGCTTTGATGTTCCCATTCGGGCAAAAGCCCTTTTCCGGAAATGTTTTTGTGCAAGAGGGCCAGTGTAAACAGCTAAAAACTGTTTTGCGCAAAAAAGCCCCAATGGCGAAAATGGCGATTGGGGCTTTCTTGCGCAAAACCGCGTCTAGATTGGCATGGACGCTTTTCCGCAGCAATTTTTTTTTAGATGAGACAACCACATCTGTACTCAGTATTCAAGAAGTAGGTGTACCATGGTTTTATATAGAGGCAATAAGATATTCTCTGTCTTATTTTCTATCCCTTGTTTAATGATTTGTAACATTTGCTTTTTTGACTGCTGCTGCACACTGAGTGGATGTTTTCAGAGAACTGTACACAATGACTCCAAGATATCTCTAATGAGTAATTATACAGGCAGTCCCCGAGTTACGCGGATCCGACTTATGTTGGATCCGCAGTTACGAACGGGGCTTTTCTCGCCCCGGAGGACGGGAGCGGCGTGACGCCCAGATGCGCCACGGTTCGCTGCCCCCGTCCTCCGGGGCGAGAAAAGCTGCTCCCCGTCTCCCTGGTCTGCAGGGAGACGGGGAG